AGCCACCTGGAGATTCGGGGCTGAGGATGCCAGGGCCCTGACAGTGAGGTTGAGGTTGGCCTGTGGAGAAGAGAGCAGGGATGGTTAAGGGAAGGGATGGGTAGAAAAGGAGCGTTTCCGGCCCTTCCTTCCTCTTTTACCCCTCCCTGCCTCTCCTCTTCCCCAGGTTCCAGGCTCCCTGGGCCTCCAAGCTTACCACAAGGCTCTGTTGGGGGAGGACCTTCTCCTGATAGAGGTTTTTGAGCCCTTGGGCTTCCTCTTGCAGCTGCTGCCCCAGCACAGAACTGCCCTGAGGGGAGACAGGGATGGGAATGGCACTCTGCCAGGGACAGCCCAGCCTTCGCCAACACATTCTTTACCCAGCTGTTCAGCCAGACATACTGAGAAGATGTGGAAAGTGCTGGGCTCAGAGGCAGAAAACCGAGGCCACCTTAAGCTCCTGGGCCTGATCCAGGTTTGGGGGCACTAAGCCCAAGTTCTAGGTCCACCCAGAGCTGACTAGGTGCTCCTAAGTCAGAGCCACAGAGGTTGTCTGAGCTGCAGTGGCATCTGCTGAGACAGGAATACTCCTTGTCTACCCATCATGCAGAGTTGGTGTGGGGTCTATGTTTTGAAGAGAACTCTTTAAGCTTTAAATACTTATAAATACAAAATGCTATTTTTTTCCAATAGCGTGTAAGCTCCTCGAGGGCAACTATCGTGATATCTGGTCCGTCGCATTGTCCTCACACCTGTCCCAGCAGATTCCCTGAGCGGTGTGCACTAAGAAACGCTTGCCCAACCGTGTGATGTCAGAGCAGTTACTCCATGTGATCTGAGGTGGAAGATAATCTACTTCGCAGATGAAGAAACCGAGGCCTGGAAATGCTGAATGACCTGCCTACGGCCACACAGCCATTGGTGGTAGGTAGCTTGAGTCAGAACCGACTCTGCCAAGCTCTTAAGCCCAGCCAGGGGATCCAGAGCCTCAAAGGTCACTGGTGGGAGCCCTCAATCCCCTGTCCTTGCCTTCATGCCCTCCAAGCCCTCCCACAATCTCCCTCCTCCCAGGCCTCTCTCTGTCTGACTCCTGCCTGCCCAGTGGGGTCTCGGGTCTTTCTCACTTGGGTCCGGGCCAGTCCTTCCAGCTCCTGAGCCAGCTTCTCCACGTCGGTGTTCACCACAGGCTTCTGGATCTGGAGATAGACAGGAGAAGCCAAGAGGGGATGCACTATGGCTCCTCCAGCCCTGTACTGGGGTACAGTCTATTCAGAAGTACCCCAAACGAGCTGAATCTATTGTGACACGTTGGTCACAGTGGGTTTGACCTGAAACTGTAAAATAAATCAGGCATTTCCCATTAGGATAGAAGGGGAAAAAATGAGGCGCCCTCTGGTGTAACCCATCGAAGAGGCCTCCTCCCACCTGCATACTGTCCACAGCAGTGGGTTCAGGACCATGAACAGCGACACACGCTGCTGGGTGGGAGCACGTTCCTTCCGGCCCAGCCCAGATGGTGGCTCCAGGACAGGCTTGAGGCACATGGTGTGCAGACACCCCCAACAGGAAGAGGCCCCAGGGACGTGTGGAGAGGTGAAGGGAACATGGAGGGCTGTGATGAGACAATACACCACCCCCCACCCCAGCTCCTCTGCAAGCCCCTCTGTTCTTCCATGGTCTGGACTGAGGTGTTTCCTGCTGACCTGATCAAGGAAGGTGGAATAGTGGATGTTCTCCAGCCCACTGCTCTGCAGGGCTTCCAGGTCCCGGTGGGCGGCTGGGCTCAGCAGGTCCAGATTCTTCACGTCTATTTTAAGGTTCTGCAACTCCTGCTGCAGCTTGGCGGTATACTGAGGGGGTGGGGGACAGGGTGAGGGTGTGCCCAGTTGCTGAACCAGGACCCCAGAGCTGCTATCCTAGGTGAGGGGTCCCCAAGCTCTCAGGGCCCTCCTTCTGGATATCCAAGGCCCCCACCTTGGCTACTCCCAGCCCCAGACAGTCTCCCAGGAGGCCTCTGCTTCCCACCTGTCCCTACTCCAACCCACCCCCACCAAGACCTAGCTCTCCTCTGCAACTATCTGGCTCACGGACAGAAACACAGACCCTCTGGCAACCCAATATGAAATAGCTTCCCTGGCCCAACTTTATCACATCACCCTTGTTAAGGTGTTCAAAGTATCTGTTGTTCTGAAATTATTTGTGGGCTTGTTTATTGCCATCAGCTCCAGGAGAGTGGCAACTTGTCTGCCCATTCTGTACCAGCCCCTCAGTGTAGAGCAGAGGCTCACATGTGGCAGGCACAATACAAGTTTGTTGAGTGCGTACAAATGAGTGAATGAGTGGGGAAACACAATCACATTTCCAAGAGAGACCACAGTTTAAGGGGACTCTTGAGGGCACCTGGGTGGTTCAGTCGGTTAAGTGTCTGACTCTTGACTTCAGCTCACAGTTCGTGAGTTTAAGCCCCATGCCAGGCTCACCCTGACGGTGTAGCGCCTGCTTGGGATTCTGTCTCTCCCTCTCTCTCTGGTCCTTCCCTGCTTGCTTGTGTGCGCGCTCTCTCTCTCTCTCTCAAAATAAATAAACATTAAAAAACAAAAGGGGACTCTTGGCATTTTTCAACCATTGCTAGAAGAGACTGGGCATGAAATTCAGCCCCGATGTTTAACAGATGAGAAACTGAGGCTAGAGAGGAACATTCACTGGCCCAAGATTTCATAGCAAGTTAGCTAACAGAACCCAGCCCCGCTCACCCCTCCCTATCCTGCCACACTGCTTCCCTCTAATCCTTGAAGAGGCGGGGGTCCTATGGCAGTGTTTCAGGCACAAGGGTATACCTGACAGGTATAGCATAACAGACAGGTACACAGGAGAGGCTTGAAGGCGAGCAGAGCCCTCCTGGTGCCCTGGAAAGCACACCTTGTCATATTTATTTCTGCATCATCAGCTCGTTCTTATCTCCTTTGAAGACAAGTGCTCTTAAGGTCACATTTGGTGTGTTGCACATGGCCCTGAAGGACTGCCCAGTCCCTTTGAACCTGAAGCTCGTCCACACTATTCTGTGAGCTGGAACCTCCCCTGAGAACCATGACGTCCAGCTAGCAGAGCAGGGGCACCTTCTGCCCGGGTCCCCTGCTGCAGTCCTGCCTGGCCAGCCTTCATCCATGGGGCAGTAGCTCTGGCCTCACATTGGGATGTGGCTGCTCTGTGGACCTTTCGTCTGCCAGGGATGCAGAAAGGGGAGGCAGCTAAGGCAGTGTGCCAAGTACGCAAGATTACACTTTCAGACACGGAGTTGGAACTGAAATCTGAACCATTTGGCTATGCTACGCTGTGGGTTGAGAAGGGCTGGTGGATTTAAGAGGAGTTGGAAGGGTTTCTGGAGAGGAGGAGGAATCAGGAGTTAGCATGGTAGGAGTGTGGGTCAGGGGGAGAGGCAGGGGGGAGACACAGGGGTTTCCCAGGACATGCTTGGGAAAGGCTCCCCAGGGGCCTTGGGAGTCCAGGCGGCTCTCCCCACCTCACTTAAGTGCAGACAGAGGTAAGGAAGGAATATGTTACAGCTTCTGTGCACCCTTAGGAAAACGACATTCTCAAAATACATCCCCTCCGGTGAAGCAGCCATTCCTTCTCTCTATCCTAGAATTGTCTCTTGCCAGTATGGATATGGTTTCTATACACCAAGCTCTGGCAAAGTCCAGTGGTTAACGGAACAGGCTTGAAGGGCAGGGCTCAAACCCTGCCCACCTACTGGCTGTGTGAGCCTGGCCAAGGGCCTCTGGTGAGCCCTCCCCCAGGGACACCCAACTTCATCACTGTCATTTTCACTGACATACCCCATTCTCAACCACCCCACTACTGACTGCAGTGTCCCAACCAATGCCTGTCCTCAGCCAGGACACGCACACCTTAGCCCTCTCATTCACTCTCCTTATCCTTTCCTACTACAACCTCAGCTGTGTTCACTTCTTCCCCGAGCACAGCACTCAGAGCCGGTCATGGCCTCCAGGACCTCATCCATCCACCCACACACCCTAGAAGCCTCCCTGGGCTCTCGCCCTGGGTCAGGCTCTGAGCTTTCACCTGGGGCCTCTGTCCCTGAGGCACCTCGATTGCTCCTGCAGACTTCTCAAGTTCAATAAGATGGACCTACCACAGAGGCAAGGCCAGAGGAAGGGGTTCTGCAGGAAAGAATCCCCACAACCCTCCAGGAGGTTCCCTCACCTGGCTGATATTCAGGTGCTTATCCAGGTCATAGGAGTCATTGAGCTGCAGGACGCTCCAGAGCGCGGCCCCTTCCTTGCACTGCCTGGGGAAAAGTAATGGGCATCGAAGACAAGAGAAAAGGACAGCAGGTGGGGGCTGACATCACCCACCTCAGCTGCTCCTCACACTCTGTCCCCCAGCCTAAGCATCCCACTCACTGATAGGCCAGGAGGATGCTGATGTTCTTCTTCAGGCCAAGAAGCTGAGACAAGTTCATGGATGGGGGCAAGTTCCCTGGGGTGTCTGCAAACTGGAAAAGGGGCAAAGAGGAATGGGCCTGAAACAGGCTGAGGGCAAGGCCATCCCAGCTCCCCTAGAGCCTGGCCCCATGCCACCTTGGCACAGAAGAGACCACGACCCTGTGACTGCAGCCCAAACCTGCCTCTAACTCAAATCACCCCTGGGCCGTTAACTCCTTGCAGGGAAACTTCTCTGGGCCAGCACCTTGGCTCACCTACTAGAAGCACTGGAGAACCAGGATTTCCAGTTTGCAGACTCAGTATTAGAACAGACAGACTCGGGTCTGGGTGCAGCCCCTGGGATGCCTGCCCTGGGGCCTGGGCATTATTCCAGGGACTCACGGATTTGTTCTCTCACCCCTTTTCCACTTGTCATTTCCTGCCTTTCCTTGGCCATCTCCAGCCATCCTCCTGTCCCTCCCTCCCCTTTCCCCCTCTGGCTCCCACTTCGTTCTAACCCCTTGCTCTGCCCTCATCCCCCTCCACCTCCCTCTGGGCTGCAGAACACGGCAGGCTCACCTTGTAGAGCTCTCTGCTCTCCCAGCTCCGGCACACCAGCGTCTGCACATTGCCGCCCACCAGGAAGGTGGCGAAAACAAGGAGGATGAGGGGTGCGGCAAGGAGGAAGCTGAAGCCCACACCCCTGGGGGAAGGCAGAGGGACAGGGTTGAGATGGGAGAGAGAGGCCAGCTGCACTGGACCACACCCTCTGTCCCGCCACATCCGGGGGCCAGCGTGGTCAGCGAATCGGCCCCAGGGCAGAGCCCTTTGAGGGCTCAGCCTCCTGGGCCAGGGGGGAGAGCTCAGAACTGCTGGCTGTTCCCCTCCCCCTTCCCCCACTCCCCTCATCATGGGTGTCCTGGCTGGCCCTAGCAACCTAGAGGAGAAGGTAGCTGCTTCGCTGGAAGAGACAGGACTGCCCACCCCTGAGACTAAGGCACATGGAGGAGACTGGCTCCAGAGCTCAGCCCTCAACAGAGCCACCTGCAAGGGCCGCAACTTAGAAGGGTTGAACAGGACCAGTGCTGCCCTGTAGGGCTTCTCTGGGGGACAGGCACAGCCCCAAGCCAGGGTTTGAGGCTTGGAGAATAGAACAAAGGCTGCATTTCAGCCTCCACTCGCCCCTTGGGTCAGGCAGATTCTACCTCGGGTGCCACCTCCTATTGGTAGTACTACCTAGATACTGGGTTAAGAAGGACTGTGAGGCTACGTTTGACTCAGTGGGAAAGGGTGCCCGCTGGTTACTATAGTTGCCACTGGTGTGGAAGGGGGAAATGCTTCTTATTTGCCATTCCCGCTCTAGTCCACCCTTGTATACAGATGAGGACACGGAGGCCCAGGTGGGTGAATAATTTGCCCGGAGTCATCCAGTGAATCGGTGCCAGAGGCAGAGGTAGAGCTCAGCCTCTTGATCCCCAGGACTTGCTTCTGTAGCCACACTAGGAGCTGTCCATGGGCATGAGAGGAATCTGGGCCGCCCAGTGGGAAAGACCCTTCCCCTCTCCCCAGCCCTTCTTACATCATGAGGAAGCGGGCTCCAGCCTCGCCCTTGGCTTCCGAGTGGCCGGGGTCCTCCCTGGCAGCCAGCCCCCAGATGCCGAGGTTGAGGCCCAACAGATTACAGACCACCACAAGCAGGACTGCAGAGCACAACACGCAGCCCAAAATCCACCTGCCGCAGAGAGGGTGCGGTGTCACTGACAAGGGAGGCACCAGGATGGGCTGGCATAGGACCTAGGGGCTGGGTGGGGCCCCACTGCTCCTACGGGGTCCCCAGGCTCAGATCCCAAGGGCACACAGCCAAGGTGGAGACAGAGGCCCGAGGAGTAAGGGGTCTTGGCTTAAATGGAGGCAGATGCTTAGTGCAGCCAGGGGTTGATGGGGGCTCAAAATCAGGCCCACAGTGGCTGAGAGGCTGGGCTGCCTATCCCATCCCCACCCCACGGACTCCCAGGCACCTGTATTTCTCATATCTCTGCACCTCCTTCAGGTAGGGGCGGCTACTCTGTTCCACCTCCTCCAGCGCCTGGCTCCAGCGAGAGGCTGCCTCCCAGCCTGGGAACTCTTCGGCCAGTGTCCTCAGCCCTTCAGGCTTCTGGGCTATCACCTTCTTCAGCTCTGCCCAAAGCAGCAGAGACTTGTGGGAGGGGCAGGAAGAACTTGTGGGACCCGCGGAGAGGGCCCACTCTCTGACCAGGCCCAGATGGAGGACAGCCTTCCCCTTCCACCCTCCCCCCACTGCCCCCCCTCCTCCTCTCGACAAGTCTCTGGTGGGGGTGGCCCCTGGACAGGGCCTCACCTTTGACCACGTTGGCCGTCTGCAAAGCTGCCAGGAGCGGGAGTGCGTTGAAGGTGCTGTTCTCCTACCAGAACAAAAGGCAACTGTGCCTCCCACTTCCCACCTGCTGTCCCAGCTTCAGGGACCCTTGACATCACCAGGCCCAGAGGCGGGGCATCCCTCTTAGTGCTCCCAGCTCAGGAAATGAGAAAACAGGCTTCCCCTTGTTCTCTTGGTCAATGGCTTCTTCTCTCCTCCTTCAGCCCGGCCTGACTCAGCTCCCCAAAACATTGCTCCTGGAAGACCCCCGCCTTGCCCTCCCCACCTCTCTTGCCGAGACTGCGGCAGCCTCCCAGCCATCCGCTCTTCTCTTCCATCCATCCTACGCATGCCAGGCCTAGGTCCCTACAGTCCAGCCCCAACCTACTCTTCCTAGCCTCAGCTTCCATTTCCTTCCTCCCGGGAACTTCCGCGCCGGCCGCCCAGCACAGGTGACTCACCATTTCCCCAACTCTGGCATTTTCCAGGCCCCGGGTCACAGGTGCTGACTCATGCCGCACCCTCCCCCACAGCCCATCTGCATGACAGGTTGTACCTCCAGGGCTCAGCTTCTGTCCTCTCTCCCTTGCCACCCCAGCCCCCCTCCGCCCCCCCCCCCCCCCCCCACCTTGAGGGGCCCAGCTCTTCCTTCTGAGTTCCAGGCCAGCCTCCCCCATCAGAGAGCGTGCACTTGAGAACCGGCATCATGAGCCTCCAGCCCAGGGAGCCATATGGGAGGTAAGGCCCTGATTTGACCCAAGTCTTAGGTTCCCACCCCAAAGGGGGAAAACGAGATCCCTCACTTGTGAGCTCCCAGGTGATGGGGAAGTCAGGTAGACTGGGCAGGCACTCACCTCCTGGACCATGCTGGAGAAGTTGGCCTCTGGGACACCCTTCAGCCGATGCAGGACATCGTCCACTGGGGACACCTGAAATAGGGTGGTGGTGGTATGACAAAGTCCATAGAGAGGCCTGAGGGGGGGTCCCTGAGGGTGGATGGGAGGAACCCTCAGTGTCCCTGTGTGCAAATGGGGAACACCTCCCCAGGTGGCAGGGAGAACTCAAGGAGCTAATACACACGAAGCTCACAGTACGGCGCGTGGCCCAGGAAAGCTCTTGCCCCCATTGCCAGGATGACCATCGTCAATCCTCGGAGAGGGGAGGAGCCGCCGAGGAAAGGGATCAGGAGTCTGCCTCAGGAAGCATCCAGGGATTCCTGGAGCAGCAGGCAGAGCAGCGCCCCCACCCCCGTTTCAAGCGGCCCTGTCCTGGGCCTGCACCTGGTCAAAGTCAGCTCCCAGCTCCAGGGCACGGGCTCGGCTCTGGGCCTCTGTGCAGTCCTGGCAGCCAGGCTCCTGCAGCAGGGTGAGGAGGTGCTCCCGGCGCTCCCGGACATCTGGCTCCAGGTTCCGCTGGCCCTCCCGCAGCTCCACCAAGGTGGCATTCAGGGCTTGGAGGTGATCCATAGAGAGCTGCAGGGCTGAGAGACACCGCTCTGGACTGAGCAGTCTCCACTGTTATTGGCACAGAACATCTCCCCCCTCCCCCCAGCCAAAGGGATGTGGGTCATTAACTTCCGCAGTTTTAATGGAAACTGCCCTGGGGCACATTTAGCCAGGTTGTGGGCAGGGATGCCAGGAGGGATCCCAGGATACAGCCATCAGAAAGTCAGGGGTCGGGCTTGCTGAGGCGGGGAGAGAAATCCAAGGCTGAGCGAGGATGGGGCCTGCCCCCAAGAGGCAGCCACCCAGGACACTGGGCCCACTCACCCTGGCCCAGGCTGTTCACTGAGGTCAGCACTTCATACACGGTGCTCTTGAGCTGGGTGTAGATCGTGCTCCCAATGCTCTTGCCGACACCTGGGGAGCACAGGGTTGTCTGCAGGGCTGGCCCCCAGAAGCCGAGGGGCCCTCTTCACCCATCCAGCCAGCCTCCCCAGGCCCTGCACTGGGCTCTGCAGGGGAGGTCCTGGCTTCTTGGTCCTGTCACGCGGTGACTACTGTGCTCCCCAGCTGGGCCCAATCCCTGTCTCTTCAAGGGTGTGCCCAGGTGGAGCCCAGGATGAGGGGTGAGAGGGCCCCCAAGGCAGGCCTGAGCAGGGGGACCCAGAGGCTGGCCAGCCTGTCAGCCAGCTATAACCCTCACCATCCAGTTCCTCCAAGACTCGCTTCTGGGGAAGGGAGAACTGCTGTGCCACGGCCTGCAGCTCCTAGGCAAACATAGGGTCATGAGGCTGCTCTTCCCTGTCACCTGACAGCCCCCCTCTTGTCCCTTCCTTAGCCCTCCCCGGGCTCCCCACACAGCTGGGTGGCCATCCTGAGGATGCCCTGGGTGCACTTATGTATTATAACAACTCTCCAGCAGGGGGCAGTCAGGTGCGTGTTGAAAGGGGCACCCTTTCTAATTTGCAGGTCCCACTCTACTCTGCCCCGCCTGGGGCTGGTGCTCAGGCAGGCTGGTGGGGGTGAGGGGTTACTGGGCACTGACCTGGGGGACATCGGAGACCAGGCCCCGGAGGCTGAGCAGAGTCTCAGGCACGGCCTCCACCCCGGGGGCCATCTGCTCATGCATGCGCTGGTTGGTGACAAAGGCACAGACCACACCAATGCTGCAAGGATGGGGGAGGAGGCAGGGGCTTGCTGGATGCCCACGAGCACTTTGGGCCTCAGCCCACACCTCCCACCTGGCCTGGGCGCCCCTCACAGTAGCACGAGGGTGGTCAGCAGCAGGAAGGCCATGAGGGTGCCTCGCTCACAAGCCATGGCCTTGTGCTCCGTCTTCACGCGGCCCCCACAGCGCCGGCGGCAGCGGCAGCAACAGAAACAGAGCCCGGCGATGGGCACCAGGAGGAGGTAGAGGCCCGCGATCACAGCACACACCACGTAGCCAGCCTCATACCGCACCACCTGGGCAAGGGGGCAGGGGTGAGGGGTTGTCCCGACCCTCCCAACGCGACGGCCTCCGGTCTGACTGCACAGGGAAACCAGAAGGCGAGGGGATGTGCCCACAGCGGGCACTTTGCACACGTCTCCTCCAACCCATGCAAAGTGCGTGGTGTCCTTGTTATTTACCATCTCGTAGAGGAGGAAACTGAAGTCCAGGTTTGCTCACTGCAAAACCCCAGGACCAGTTAATGGCAGAGCTGCGGTTGGAAATTAGGCCCGCGGATTACAGCGTGAATGGAAGGGGGGGAGGGGATGCCGGAGACCCCCACCCTGAGGGACACCCAGCAAGGTGGCCCGAGCTGAGGAGGCCTTTCTACTTCTGCCCCTCATGCTCACCCGACACTGCTCTCCGCCTCCCCCCCCCCCCCCCCCCCCCCCCCCCCCCCCCCCCCCCCCCCCCCCCCCCCCCCCCCCCCCTCCAGGGCTCACCTCATCCACCTTCACGGAGGACGGCTCATTCAGCAAGGTCTTTACCAACTCTAAGGAAAGAGTCAAACTGGGCGTTTGAGGACAGCAACTGCCCTGCGCCTGTGTCCACCCTCACTGCCAGGCCAAGGTGGGCTCTCTGGAAGGGCTCCTCCCACCGCCATGGCACCCTAGGAGAAGCCCTGTGCATTCTGCCCCGGCCTCCGGAGGAGGGAGGGCTGCCATAGGTGGGAGTGGCTGAGAGGAGGCCCGGCCGACCCCTCCTCCAGAACCCGACAGGTGGGCCCAGCGGTGGAGAAGCCGGAAGCCTGGTTAAAGCAGAGAAGGGGCCCGGCCTAGCAGCCTATCCCTCAAGAGGCGAGGGACAGGCCCTGCAGCCCCTCCTGTCCTCCCAACCCCTAGCACCCCTAGACCCAGAGAAAATCTTAGCCAGGTCTTTGAGAACTTCTAATGTAATTTCTTCTATTTGAGGACAGAGAGACTGAGGCTCAGAGAGGAAAAAGGGCTTGCCCAAGGTCACGCAGCAAGATTTCCAGGTGATGCCCGTGGGCCCCCGGGGACTTCTGGGAAGGAAGGCTGGGGACCCTGCCCTCCAACTGCCCGCTGACGGGGTAGGCGCGCCCCGCGGTCGAGGGGGAACCCACTACCTCCGAGGCCCGCCCGAGGGAGGGGCGCACTCACCGGCGGGGAAGGGGTTGAACTGCACCACGGAGAGGAAGCGGCGCACGGTGCCGTACAGGGGGTTCAGGGGCCCCGGCGGGCGGTCGCGAGGAGCCAGCCAACGGACCCTGGCCGCCGGGGCGAACACCAGGCGCTCTGCGCGGCCGAAGGACCTGCAGTCCGCGGCCCCTGCCCCCAGCGAGCTCAGGATCAGCCCCAGCCCCAGCCCCAGCCCCAGGCCAAGCAGGGGCGCCAGGAGGCCGGGTACGCGCGTCATGGGGTCGGCCGGGGGACTGCGGGGCAGGCAGGACGGGGCTCAGGCGGCCGGGGGTGCTGACGGAGCGCGGGGCAGGCCGTGCATCCTTCACCAGCCCGTGTCCCCGCGGCTCTCAAAACCGGCCCGACAGGTTTGGGCTCCCGAGCTACCTGGGCGCCCGCCCGCAGCGCTGGAAGGGCAGGGGCGGAGGCCTTGGGGAGGGGGGCAGGGCCTGGCCCGGACCCGCCCCCAGCGTCCTGGGGTGGGAGCCAGGGCGTCTTCTCCCCTCCCCAAATCCTCGTAGGAGGGCTGCCTCCGAGCTGGGAAGGGGAGACACCTCACTAGCTCTGGATTGTTGGGGGGGGGTGACCCAATTTCAAAAATTGTATTCCATAACCCAGACCCAAGAGCCCAGGCTGGGGCTGGGAAAACAGCCACCCAGCGAAGCGCTGGCCCAAGGGGTGGCGGAACGGCGGCACAGACCCAGGAACCGGGCTCCTCCCCGCGGCTTCCTCTGGGGCCTGCTCTGTCCCCTGGGGTCATGCTTGGCTTGCTGCCAGGCCGATCTGGAGCAGAGAGGCCACCAGGCTTTGCCCCCGAGTGGCTCTCAGAGGAGCCACTCGGACAGGCGCAATCCTTCGGGAGGGTGAGTCCCAGCTAAGGTGTGCCCTTTGGCCCAGCAATGCCCCCATCCAGTCAGCAGCCGAAAGAACTAATCAAGGATATGGCCAGAGATGTGTCTACACAGGGCTCTGTTTTGTAAGTGGCTGTATGCCCAATACCCAGAGGGTGCCTGGAGCTGAGCAGGTTGTGGGGAAGTATTGCTAAATGGTTGGGGGATGTTTCTGGCAGTGTTATTCACGATACAGAAACAATCCCGATGGCCGATGGCCACCACCACCAAGGAAATGGTGAACCGAGCATCTCACAAGACACACAGGGCAGTCATTAAAGAAAATGATGTGGAAATGGCTCTTTTGACCTTCAAGATACAATGCATTAAAAAGTGCAAACAGCTGCTTACAAAACAGTATGTAGAGTGAGGGTATGAAACACTGGATCATCTCCGGGTAGAATCTCGGCGATTTTTAATCCTTTTCTGCCCATTTGTACTTCCTAATTTCTGTGCAATCAACATGTGTTCGTTGTGTTCAAACAAGCGATAGAAGTTTGTGAGTGCCCATGGCAGCCCTCTTCCCCAGCAGGAGCCCTGGAGGGAGGGGCTGGGGCTGGGGCCGGCGCCCCTGTGACCCCTCCCCAAGGTCTCCTGCCCTGCCCTTCCAGCTCTGCCCTCCCGGATTTGCCAGGTGGGTGAGGGGTGTAGAGATTTGGGGCTGTTCATGGTGGGCGGGGCCCACGGTAAAGAAGTGACTTAAATTGGAGTCAGGGCTGGGCCTGCGACAGAACGCTTACCCTTCCTATGGCTGCGCCTATGGTTTTCTCAGAGCAGCAAGAGTACACGGTCTAGAAGGAATGGTCCACTTAATAACGGGGTGCAGACAGGAAACGGAACCCCATCAAAGGGTGACTCAGAGATGAGGATCGGGGCTGCAATGAGAAAAGTGGGGGGGGGTGGGGGGTGTGTGCTGGCTCCTGGGGTCCAGGGAACCTCCAGGACCGGTACTGCCCCTGGAGGCCCAACCCCAACCTCTGGAGGGAGTCCCCTGGCCACTCTGCCCCGCGACCGTGCAAGCCAGCTAAATTCGGGCTGTGCCCAGGCCTCACTCTTCCCATCCCACTCATTTGAGCGCAGTACCTGCGCTGGGGGCACCATGGCCCCCCTGGAGGCTGCCTAGAGGAAGGGCTGGTCTCCCCAGAGCCTTCCCCCTCCTCCTCTCCTCCAGCACTGGCCCAGAAATAGCCCTTTCCTAGCTTCCTATAATCCACTACGGTGCCGTGAACTCCACTTAGGGTTTGGTTTTGTTTCTGTTTTTGTTTTTGGTATTCCCTGACTTGAGTGCACTGGTGGCAAAGGAGTTTGGACCCCAGTTTCCCAGGAGGTCAGGGAACCCCAGGGACTTTGGGACATAAACAGCCCCGTCCCTGCCTCGTCCGGTCTCCCCCTCTTTCTCTCTCTTCCCAACTATCGCAGTTAAGCCGTGAGTTTCTACTGCTGTTGTTTTCATTAAGTGCCTGTAATGAAAGCCCTGCACATTGAAGGTGAGATTTCTCCAAGAAAAAAATAAAACATACCAAGCCTCTTTTTTGGCCTAGGGGCAGGAGGGTTGATAAAGATACTGAATCTACCAGTTTGACAGATGGACAAAGTGAGACTCCAAAGAAGGGATTTTCCTGAGTCAGTGACCAAGCCAGGAGTCTCCTTCCTGAGCCGGATCCTGACGGAACAATCTTTCATTGGAGGGACTGGGTCAGCCCCACCTGGAGGGCACCTGGCAGAAACACCAAAAATGCTGCTGTAATTGATTCCTTGGGGGAGGGGGGCAGAGCAAGTGGCTGTGTTGGGGCTGGGCGGGCTGGTTGGACAGCAGGGAGGACTCTGCAGCCGCCTGTAAGAGCTGCTGGGCTTCCAGAAGTGTGGAAAGGGGTTCAAGGGTAGTCCTGCCCCACCCCCTCCTTTTACTCACGCGTTTCTGGCACGCCGGCACGTCCCTTCCTCCTGCTACCCACTGGGACCCTCTGCTCTCCCTGGAAATTCTTTGGTTGATCTGGGATAAGCTGTCCCTAGTTACCTTGGGAATACTTCCTGGGGTCACTTTCCTACCCCTGAGTCACAGTCCTCAGGAGCTTGATGGTCCCCAGGGCCCCACAGCCCTGAGGTTAAGGTGGGGGAGAGCTGGGCAAGGAGAGGGGTTCTGCCCTTCCGAAAGCAGTAGGGCTCATAGAGCCTGAGGACGCTAGGTGCGGCCTGCCGGCTGCCTCATGCGCCACCTGCTGGAAACAGGAGGGGGTGCCCACCTGTCAGGGAAAACAGCCGACTGGTTCCCCTTCTCTCTGGCCTCAGGGGTCCAGAGAATTTCCACCACCACATACCCCAAGCCACAAAACCATCCCTTCTCCCTCATTCCTGCATCCAGCCACTCAAATGCATCCCACCTCCTGAGCATTTCTCCAGAATGGACCATTGAAAACGCGGATCAGACCATGTGACCCCTTGGCTTCAAACCCTCCCATGGCTCCTTCTCCAGCCTCAGGATGAAAGCGAATTCCTTAACTTGTCTCCCCAGGCGCCACCAGAGCCCTCGGTCCCCCCCCCCCCCGGTGGTTCTCACAGTGCTCTGCTCTCATCTTGCACGTGCTCTCTCCTGTCCCTGCCCACATGGTCCCCCTGCTGTATCTCATCCTCAGCTTTCACCCCATTTCTGTTCATCCTTAAGACTTGGCTCAATGGGGGGGCGCCTGGGTGGCTTAGTCGGTTAAGCATCCCACTTGGCTCAGGCCATGATCTCACGGTTCGTGAGTTCAATCCCCATATTGGTCTCTGTGTTGAGAGCTCAGAGCCTGGAGGCCACTTCAGATTCTGTCCCTTCCCCACTCATGCTCTGCTTCTGTCTCTCTCTCTCAAAAATAAATCAACTTAAAAAAAAAAAAAGACGTGGCTCAATGGTCATCCTCTCTGGGAGGCTCCCGGACTCCTCAGCCAGGCTCAGTTGGGGGTCCCTTCAGGCTGGCCCATATTTCCTGGTCATGAGTCTGTCACCCCAACATAGAAGTTGTATTTTATTCACCCTCATATTCTCCCCCTCCACCCTGGCCCCAGGCTCAAGCACAGAACCCAGGGTACAAAGTATTCTCCATAAATGTTTCCCTAGACTTGAGGAAAGCAGATTTCAAAACATGTAAAGATAAGACATTCTATATCAGCCAGAGAGTCTGCAAGTGAATGTGATTTAAGAATAGATGGAAGAGTCCCCAAGCTGAAATTCTGTGCGTGCATGGAGGTGAGTAAAGCGGGCAAGGAAGGGGTGGGGTGACTGGGAAGGGGAGGGGTCTCTTGGGTGAGTGGCACGTCCCTGGGAACATCTTCGTGAGCCTTGCCGAGCATTAAGGATGGTGTGCAGCCTGAAGAGAGGCCACAGGGAGCATGTGGGGTTTTCAGCAAAGCGTCTAGTGTCCCTGTGATAATGACTGCAGGCCAGGTGCAGCTTTCAGCATGGGCGCCTGGGCACGGCCACACCCCAGAGGCAGCAGGTATTTCAGGACAGGCAGCTTGGTCAGAAGTAGTGGGAGTCAGGACGGCAGGGGCCCGGGCACATGGAGATGGCTGCACTCTGGTCTGCTGTTACAGGGTGAACTTCTAAAGGAAGCAACCCCGTACCGAATAGACTCTCCAGAAGGACTTGCTTAGGAAGGATTCAGGTCAGCTGAAGACTTCAGTCCTTGCAGCCCAGGCCCCCCCCCGGGCAGGCCATGCACTCTCTGCATGGCCAGGTGAGTCCCCTTGAAACGAGAGGGTCACCGTGTTCTCAAGACCCGTTGGTCTCTTTGTCGATTAGGAGGTCTCTTTGTCGATTAGGAGGCTCAGGCCAGACCTCCTCAAGGGTACCCAGCATCCTCTTCCTCATTACTCACAGCCTCCTTGGCTACCTGTTCTCTCCAAGGCCAGGGGCAAGGGCTTATCTCAAGGTCAGGGCCCAGGCCACATCTGGCACTGACATCTGCTCCCTCCTCAACCCATGGCACTTGGGGAGAAGACTGAGTCTGGTTTGCAGAACCTCGGGGCAATCTGGGGTCTCGTGTTGTCCAGGAGTATCATAGAGGCAGGTCATGCCCCTTCTAGAGCCTGACTTAGGAACGAAACAGACATGTGTTGGAAATGAGCTGCTGGCCCTATCGTAACATCCTCTGTAGTCCAGTCTCTTCCGGTCACCACATTAAGTGCAAAGGAAGGTTATTAATGTTCCCTCTTTGAGGGAACATTTGGAGGTGCCATGTGTCCATTTCTTCATCCTGGGTGCTCGTGACAACACCATCAGCCAGACTCTCAGGAGCTCTGTCTGACCCCCAAGTCTCCTTTTTGGCATGTCCTGCCCAGATGCCCAGGAGCACCATGGCAAACGCCT